CAAACTGTTTCAATATTCTGAAAAATTGAAAAAAAAAAATCAAATTAACCAAATGGCTAAAAAAGTTTGGGTCGGGTGCATTTTCAGTGGGTTGATAGGCAACTGCAAACAAACTTAATTTTATTTTAGGCCTAGGGTGTTCATATTTGACACAATATGTCATAAAAAATGACATCTCAACCACAAAGACACCGAAAGCGGGGGCCACAATTCTTTGAATTTGCTTGTTATCTCTCCAAGTTGCAGCTCATACAGATGATTTTGACATCAAAGTTTGCAACTCATGTTGCTTCAATATCTTTTCTTCTTTGTAAATCTGTAGCATGTAATATAGCATTTCTGTCTGGATCGTGTAGATAGAATACAAAGCTTGTTTTAAATGCATGATAGAGTAGTATTTTTTTCAGTGAAAAAAATATAGAATAATTTATACCTAGTCTTACTTTAAACAATAGTAGATACTTGCATTAATTTACATAGATTTTGTGGCACTGGCTGTTTGAAATAGAATTTCTTAATTCATTATAACACTTAAAGGAATGTGCCAGAGATTAACAATTTGCTATATCCTATAATATGATACAATTTAAAAATATAGGGATTAGGGAACACTAGTTACCTTGGATATATGTGTATTTAAGGTATTTCCATTCTCACAATTTTATGGGTTCAACATATAAAAACTGCATTTATTTTCACTGAATATATGATAATTTAATTAACTAATAATAGCAAAAAGTGTATAGGATGCCATATTTTTTAAGAAGTAAGACAAAATTCAACAAGTGTATGCCAGCATTAACAATTGTTCATTTTTTAGTGAACAGTATTATAAACATTAGGTAAAACCTGGTTTTAAAAAATATGTAATTCTGATGCTAAAAATTCCATTATTTGCATTACACCTATTGGAAAGCATTCATCCAAAAGATATTTTTTCTAATGGGTATATAGTTAGATTAAAGTATATAGTTAGATTAATAAACAATTAACAATTATAAACTAACAAGTTTAGTTTGAAAAAAAAAAAACAACAACAGAATATAGATTTGCCTGAAGTGTAATATGACAGAATGAAAGAACTTCTCATAGAAATGTAATGTGATTGACAATTTATATTAATTGATTACTTTAGATGCAGACAGCATAGGCGTCGGAACCGGGGGGGCTAAGGGGGGCACTTTTTTTCCCAATATATACTTAGTATAGACATTGAACATATCTTCGTACGTTTAGCCCCCCCCCCCCCCCCCCCCCCCCACACACACACACACACACACACACACACACACACACACTTTCAACACATAGGTCTTAGTATAGATTAAAAATTCGGAAAGTGGTGGTGTTAGGAAAACATTTTTGTTCTGAAGTTCGAACCTACCCACCCCCCCACCCCCCACCCACCCCCCCACGAAATAGGATTTTCGTGTTTTGAAAATGCATATTTCCTTTTTTTTTTCTTTTTTTTTTTTGCTTGTCAGGTTTTTTTTTAATGTAAATTTTTTTTTTTTTTACACTTAGCCCCCCCACTTTCAATTTGCTTCCGACGCCAATGGACAGTGTATTAAGACACACAATAACCTTTTTACAGGGGTATATGTTTTAATAGACTTGACCAAGTGGGGCACTTTGGAATTCTGATGATTTAAATATATAACACAACAGTGACAATAGTCATTTAATTCTGTTGTCCTTACATATATAAGCAGTTAGAATTTTAACCACCTTGCAAGATTAAATTTGATGATTTAGCTTTCCATACAGAAACATGCACACAGGTAAATTAAATGCTCAAAGGGGTTCACCAAGGGGTATTCCCTAAAAGGGAAACCATTCCACATATGTGTTTCATAAAATTGATATTAATCATCAAATTCATTTATTTTCAGTACTTTATGCTAACAGACTACTAATTATTTTGTTTTTAAAGAGAAAAAAGTATTTTAGCATTTATTTTGAAAATTTAAATGCCCGAACTAATTGCCAATCATTGACCTGTTTGGTGAATTGAATGAACAGGCTGAGACTTGACTGTGTTATAGTAACTGTAGTAAGACTGAGCTGAGAGCGGGAATTGTAAGGTTCTGTGTAGCTAAGCTGTAGGGGCATTACGTTTACATCAGGGATATATTACTCCTGTCCCCAAAATCCTAATAGGTGAGAAAATTTACTTATTATACTAAGATGTTTGGTAGCATAGCTCATATGAATGATAGTGTCATATAATTTCCAGAATTTTACTAGATGATGAATGAAAATGTTAAGTTAAATATGAAGCCTTTGTAAATGCTGTTTGCAGTCTAATGCATTATTGAATACATCCCCTGACAATAATGATTAGCACTGTCACCTGTGTGGAGGGTTCAGTATTGATCTGTGATTTTTCCTGTTTTCATTCCCGGGTGATATCGGTTTGTCATTATTGTCATTATTGGAACGTTTGTCAGGTGTATTCTGGGATTTAATGAAGAGAAGGTCATTCATCAACCTTTTTTTTACAATTACAGTACCATATACATGTATTTTAGTTTTCCATGTTGGCAGTTTCTGAATCTGATTGTACCTTTTTTTTTCTAAATTGTTATGATTTGTTTTAATTTAGGGAATGCCGGTGTGTTAATTGTATTGTTAGTAATGTCTGGCTCAAAATCAGAAAGTGTTCATAATATTTTTCCACTTTTTGATTCCTTATTATTATCAAATGGTCTAAAAATATATACTGTAGATGTATATCTTTTGTTTTGGACATTTGAAGTACATCTCTAGAAATCGAATGTTTCTATTCAGGTGTGCACATATTTTCTATTCTCAGTTCGAGGGTGATTTTTCTGTGTATTTGTCCATCTTGATCATCTGGATGACTAACTCTGTTTAGAGTTGACTCCTTTTGAATGTTTTATGGCAATATTTGATAAGAATTCAAGTCTGAACTTTAAAAGCATGATTTATAGGTCTTTTTAATATCCTCCTTAAAATCCCCCATTTATTGAGCCCAGAAATCTCAATTTCATGATATTATAAGATCAAATTCCTTTTCACTAGTTAAAACATGAGATGAACTGTGCTTTCACCAGATATAAATGTTTAAAAAATCTTTAAATATTGTCAGTATTTAATTAATTTATGAAAAATATTACAGGTATTGGACATTTATTGAAGATTCTAAATCGACAGTATATTTATAACCCTGACGAGTGTTTTTGTGTGTGTGCCCTTTTTATTTTTCTCTCCTGGAATTATAAGTTTGATTTGCTAGGTTCTATTATTTACAACATTTCATCCATTACTTTGATTACCAGATTAAAGTCAGAATATACAAAACCACATTTAAGACTTCTAAACATTTTATCTTTACAAATTACATTCCGTGTTTATATGCTTTATCTAAGTTTGAAAAACGTGGCTATAAGTTCTAACTAAGGATTGATTGGGGTTTGCAGTATGAATTGACTGTGTTGTAGCTTTTCAATATACGGCATACATTTAAAGATAAAATCCTGCAGTGGCATCAAGCTTGGACATGACTTAACTCAGGTGAATATTTAATGCAGCCATTTTCCCTTTCTGTTTTTTAATGGGGCTGCATTAATGAAGGTTTTTTCAGGTACGTTATTGTATTTAATCTGTTTTAATATTTCTTTGTACTTTATCAATGTTTTTTTGGTCTAGCCATGCGAGGGAATAAGAGCATGACACACTGGCTTATTGTATCACTGTGACAAGGTTTTCATTACACAGATCAATACATTACCCTTTGTTGAAGGTGTGGATTTTGGTTACATATGATTCAAAATATGGAAGTCATGCAGTGTGTAGATCTCAGGTCTTGTTTCCAGCAGTACACAGGTACAAGGGCATAATTGTAGTAGGTAATTAATGAGATTTCAATGGGCACTAATTTTGTATGTCAGAAGTTAAAGATAGGTTATTACTTTACAGTTAAAATTCCAGATTTAGATATTGTTTGTTCGCACATTTGTTTTTCTTTTGTTATTTGCTAGTGTGTTTTAATGGCTGTTTTCTATTTGTATGTGATTTCATGCATTTATTTATAAACCAAGGTATGCAGAAAAAAATGTTGGAATCAGTTTGATTATCAATAACTCTACCTGCATACACCTGCTTATCTTAAGGATTTGAGACCTTAACAAAACCAGCAAATTTAAATCTTTAGTGTTATGGCTAACATAAACACAGATCAGAATAAAAGCGTACAATTATGATGTTTACACATGAAGTACTTGATATTGTGTGAGTGAAGTTAACCCGTTCCCCTTTAGGATGTCTAGCAAAGTAATGGACACATCGAAGAAGAAAAGGGTCCCAAAAAGATCAGGGCCTAAAAATTCAGGGGGAACAACTGATGCTTTAAAGAAAGAGGAACGGAGAAAAGCCAGAGCTTATGTAAAGTGTAGACAAAGCTACATATACCAGTATTAACACTTAAATAATATCCAAGCTTATGTAGCGTGAGCATGCAAGAAATGAGTTTTATATTTCATATCATGCATGACAGAGCTGTATCAACAGTCTATCACTTTGTAGAATTTTGCTTGCAGAGATTTTTCACTTGACATATTGTTAGCACTGTTTAAACTCTGGTTGTTTGGTTTTAGTGCATCCATAGAAGATGAATATAAGCTATTTCTCTAGACTGACCATTTATTTCCATTACATTTCATTCAGTTTATGCTTTGTATCCAGAGCCATATGGTAGTCTGTAGATTTAAAGTTCTCTCTCACTTGATTTGACTTCTGTAGGAGACTGGTGCCTGGGGGAATCCCTCTGTTACTAATTCTAACTTTCTGTCCACTTCAGACAAAAAATAACAGTTCAGTCACTCTTACAACACAATAAAATATTTATAAAGGCAGGGGAGGTTTTCTCTCCATTATATCAGTTAAGAAATGACCTTTAATGTATGCAGCAGTTGAAGTGTAGAATTCTGAGAGCCTATGTTTAGATTTATAACCATTTAACTGGTGTGTTTGACTAGGTTGCCAACAGAGATGAGGAGATAGAACGGCTGAACAGAATGTTGGAGGGAGGCAGACCGTCAGATGTGGTGGCCCTCGAGGCCCGCAACAGGGCAAACGAGCGCATGATCTCTCACCTTAACATCCAGGTATGTCACTTCAGTTTTCCTAGATGCACATTTACATTACATCTTGAAAACCTCCAGATTTCTAACTGATATTCTATGTATTAGACAACATATGGCAAATTTGGAAATTATATCATTTTATCTGTTACAATCAAAACATTCAGTGATAGACAACGTTGCCAACAGAGATTTGGAAAACATCGGATTGAAATAGCAGATCGAAATTCATTTTCAATCCACCTGAGCTGTTTTCAAAGCAAAGAGTGAATGTATGATCCAAAAATCAACTATATTTCAACTCCCAAATACACATTGTTTGAAGTTCACATTAATATGAGTTTTAGCATATAATTTTAAGAACGCGAAGACAAAGATTATTTTTCAGGAGATATTTGATTCTAGAAGGGGGGAGAGTAAAAAATTGTCGAGTCAGGTCATAGCTTAACATGACAATATATTTTATTTCTAGGATTATAACAGTGCATGAGTTTTATACTTTTCTCACTGAAAACTGTTAACTTTATTTAAAAATCGTTCAACACCCCCCCCCCCCCCCCCCCCCCCCCCCCCCCCCCCCCCCCCCCCCCCCCCCCCCCCCCCCCCCACCACCACCACCACTACCACCAACAGATAAGATAAGATAAGATTTATTAATACCAATTTGGGGCCCATCAGGGCAACACAAAGATATACCGGTACATATATTTACCAAACAGAAATGAAATATTCCTCCCTTAAATATTTATTTATTTAAAACACTGGACAAAAAACTTCAAACTGTACCAAAATTGAAATTATTTGTCTTCTGGGTCAATCAGTAATAATGTGCCTTCTAGCGTAGCTGAGGTGGATTGAAAATGAATTTCTGATGCAATTTCAATCCGATGTTTTCCAAACGTCCGTTAATGAAGTCTATCACTGAATGTTTTGATTGTAATAGATAGAAATGACGTAAGCTGTATATTTCCAATTTTGCCAGTTAATGTTCCGCGGTCTTATATATAGTTGGGCCTCATTAAATCCAGATACTTGTGTTCCCAAGCAAATTGTCCAGTTTTGTGAAGATTTTGAATTATTGTAACATACATTGTAAATATAAATAGTGCCTAGTACAAACCTTGACATGAAGCATCATGTCATTTGGTGTTCAGATTATTAAGGCTACACTATATATTGAAAATTTACAATTAGATGGCTTTTGTTCTACAGTTTAAAATTTTAATAAATAAATGCACTGATTAAGTCTTTGGTTACTGCAGATTGACTTCCTGCAGCAGAAAACTCGAGAACTGGAGAGGAAATACCAGGACTCTAATGCTGTTAAGGAGGATCTAGAGCTTACGCTTAGTAAGAGTAAATTGACCATTAGGGATCAAGAGGCACGGATCAAAGAGTTAGAGCTTGACCTCAGGGATGTTGATAGGGTGGCTAAGAGGCTAGAGACGGACAAAAACAATGTCGTACGGACAGCCGACCGTGAAATGATGGAGGCCAAGGTGGGTCTGCTGAAATTCAGTACATTTAATTTAAAAATGTGTATTTTATCGTCTCAGTTCAGTGTCTTTGGATGCTCACTGTCAGGGATATTGTTGTGAACTTGTTTCTCTTAAATGTTTCAGGATGAGCTGGAGAAGTCCAGACATGAACTGGAAGATTTAGACCTCACAATCGCCCAATTCAAAGCTGTAAGAAAATTAAAATCAACCCAATATATGATCTTCTAGTCATTGATTTAAAACCAAAGCCAGTTATCAAAACTTTATAAACATGATAAAGAAATTTTGGTCCATTGACTTTGATTATTGAAAAGGTAAAGAAAAAAGGAGCAGGAAATGTCAGTTCCAGAAATAAAAGAGAAAACAGATTAGTTCCTGCTGCATTTTTTTTCATGTCCTGCTTATCTTCTTTCCTCAGGAGAATCAGAGATTGAACAAGGAGGTGAGTGAACTGAAAGCTCAGCTGACCGTGAAGGGCGGAGATGTACTCCGATTGGAGGAACTACTGGACCGTGTCCAGGAGGACAAGAAACGTCTCAGCAACCGCTGTAACAAGATGATGGCCAACGGTAATTCTACATTGTATATTATACAGTAAGAATGACAAGAGTTTGTCTCAGAATATGATCAGAATACAGCTATCCCAATTATTAGCCTCAAAACATGAGGTATACACAAGGTCTGAATCTCCATAATACTAAAGCCTAAAATGGTTGAATAATGTTTTAATCCTATTGTTTTGCTTTGCTGTGTACAAAATTAGTATTTTAATGCATAGATAGGAATACTTAAAATTATATAGAATATTCTTGAGACAGTTTCATAGGAATATTATTATGTTGATGGGTTTTTTTTCTGCTCAGAAAAAGAACTAGTACTAGAAATTGAAAGACTGAAGAGAAAGAATGGGCCAGCAACCACAGTGAATGGAAAGAAAGGAAAGTCGGCCACCAAACTAGACGCCTTTATTCGTAGTATCGAGGAGGAGAGAAACTACTACAAGGACCAAACGGAGGCTCTCCAGAAAATGCTGAGGGGGGAGATTCAAGGCCGTCCTCACACAGTAGTAGTCCTGTCAGCTTAGCCGTCCGACAAAAAGGTCAGGTCAAGGCCGTCCTCACACAGTAATAGTCCTGTCAGAGACCTAGCCAGCAAGTCTGACAAAAAGGTGAGTAGTAGACCCGTCAGGTCAAGGCCGTCCTCACACAGTAGTAGTCCTGTCAGAGACCTAGCCAGCAAGTCCGATAAAAAGGTGTGTGATTGTCAGGGACAACAAATTAAACATAAAGGCAGTTAATGATGAGTGATTCCTTGGTACTAAATTTTAATTCTGTTTTTCAGACCGTGGCGCAGTACGAGACCATTATTCGGGTATTGGAGGAGGAGAGAGATTACTACAAGAAGGAGTATGAAGTCCTGAAGGCAGTGAAGAAGTCTTCCTCCTCCGCCAGGGCTACCCCAACCAAGGTCTGTGTAGTGAAGTGATAAATGTTTAAGTTAGACAGAGATGCTCTCACCATGGCCAACATCTTTTTGCATAGATTGATCACAGAATTATGATTTTTCTTGTGTTTAGAACAATGAAATCTTTAAATATGGTAGATTAACAATTATATGGATATATGTTATTTCAGAGCTTCACATCAGATGACCCAGAGCTTTCAAAGGTCATTAGAGAGAGAGATGATCTAAAGGCTTTATTGGACAAATTTGAGAGGCATATGGCAGAGGTAGGCAGTTTTTTTTAACTTATCTTTACAACTAAATCATATTATTCAACAGTTATCATTGTATAAAAGCTTTTAAGGATAAATGAAGTATTCACTTTAAATTTTGTAGATTCAAGCCAATGTTAAAGTCCTGACAGCAGAGAGAGACAAGCTGAACATTATGTATGAGGAGGTAATGTATCCATAACAAATTCTAAACTAGGCAGCTTGATTTTGATACTCTGTATATGAAGCACTAAATTGTGATCTGATTGTAAAATTAAGTTTATTGTTTATGTTAGACTAAAGATGAGCTCCAGAGAGTGAGGAGGGAGCTGGTGAAATCCCCCAAATCCCCCAAGACGTCCCTGGCAGCTCAGGCCATTCTACGGCGAGTGGAGACGGAGAGAGATGACGCCCTCCAGGATTTACGACGCATGACGACAGAGAGAGACAGCCTGAGAGAGAGACTGAAGATAGCCACGGAGACCTCGCTGTCTGATAGAGCTAAACTAGAACAGAAGATTGAGGATCTAGATACCGCTCTCACTCATGTAATAACATCATGTCTATATCCAGTTTGTTAATGTTGGTGTTTGAACTTTAAAGGCTTTTAATATTTATGCATGAAAATGTAATGCATGTAAACAGGCAGTCAGTAAGTTCATTATTTTTCCTCTTCAGGTTGAGACAGAGAAGAATGAGATGGCCCTGAGAATTGCGACCCTGAAGGAGGACATCAGGAGTTACGAAGACCAGGTGAAGGAGCAGGCCCTCAGGCTTGGACAGGCTCAGGACAGCAATGCTCAAAGCAGGTCCACAGCAGAGCAAATGAAGTGAGTCCGGCCTCATGTCAGCTCAGGATACTGAGACAAAAATAGGAATAGAACATACTGAGGAAGTTTTAAAATGGAATGGTTTGATAATATTGTTTTATTCTTATGTTCAGAATGATAGCTGAGGAGACAGAGAAATCATTAGAGGACACACAGAAGAGACTGTCACACAGAGAACGTGAGCTCCATAACCAGGAGGAGAGAGGGGTGGCCCTTGAGGACAAGTGTGCGGAGCTGAAACGGGCACTAGAGATGGCCAAGGACGACATCAGTCAACTCCGAGCCACCATCAACGCCATGGACAGGGAGAAAGACTCATTACAGCACACGGTAGATGAGAAGACAGAGAAAATAGCTCATCTCAATGAGGATATATTACATAAGGTAATAGCAAGAAAATACAAAAAAAAGTAGCTCATCTTAAAGAGGAAATTTTGCATAAGGTAAATGGTTGTCTCAGTGTTATTTTTTTCAAATAATAAATGTTTAGAATCATTCACTACTTATTTAAAATGATAATTGTATCACTCTGTCTTTATGTTATAGGAAAAACTGATGAGTGATCTGAAGATAAGAATGAGTGAACTTGAAGCACAACTAGAGTAAGTAATCACTTTTGACATTAATTTTTTGTTTATGCCAGAATGACAAAAATTAATATTATACTTTCATGTAAATAAGTTGAATCTGATTGGTCGAGAAACATTTGTTTAAAAACACTATTACCCGCTGAATAATGAAGCCACGCCCTCCAGCATAGCAACAGTAAACATTGCTTGACGATGGGTGATATTCCAAAAAATCGACTGCGCAGAATTTGTGCGCGCACGGTTCACTGTTATATGTATTTGTATAAAACATTCAGTATAATATGATAAATACTGCATGTAGTTGAGTGTAACATTGAAAATTTTCACCCCAAGAAAACCATTGGTTTTCTTGGGGTGAATATTTTCAATGTTACACTCAACTACATGCAATATTTATATAATCTTGCACGTTTAAAAAGTTGAAAGGTTCTTCATAGTTATATTGTCAAATATGGGTCAAAAAAATGAAGTACATTGTACAATATATTTCTTTTTCAATTTTCATTTTTGAGAATTTTACAGGCTCAGATAAGGCCTTTTACTAAACAATGCACTTATATTGCATATTTATACTTAATAATGTAAATCTCACTGTGGCATTTTTCCCTTAATTTGTAGATTATATCTTTAAAGACTACATTTACTTTGCAGGCATGCTAATGACAATTTGAACTTAAAAGAACGTGAGCTTAAGAGTATGCGTCGTCAGTTAGACAGTACGTCGGAGGATCTGAGTGAGTCGAGTCGCAGCAAGGACATCGCCCTGCGGGAGAATCGACGTCTACAGGACGACCTGGCCGTGATGACGCGTGAGAATCAGAAACTGAATTCGGAACTTCAGGAGACACTCGAGGACAAGGAACATCTAAAACAACAAGTACAGGACTACATGATGGAGGTCAAACGCATCGAGGACGTACTGGCCAGGAAGGTAAGGCTTTTGTCTAATGAACTGTCAGTAGAAGATTAGTTTAGTGGCCAGAAAGGTGGGGCTATTGTCTGATGAACTGTCAGTAGAAATATTTGTACTGTCAAGAAAGGTTAGGATAGGATGTTCTATTGAACTGTCAGATATTAAAAAATACAAAAGGTTTACAATTTTCTTTTCCAAAATTTTGGTCAATGTTTCCTAGTTGACTACCTTTTCATATTCAGTACTAAATATATTTATGTATTTGATCAATTGATAGTGTATAAAACTGACCTGCTTTATGTGTTTGTATTTTTATTTTAGGAGAACGAGAGGACAGATCTGTTGGAGCAGTACCGAGCTTTATCAGCCGAGGCAGAACAATATCAGACCTCCACCCACCAGCTGGAGAGCGAGGGATCTAATCTACGTCTGGAGCTCATGACAAAGGACTCCGAGCTTAGGAGAGCTCGCGATAAGCTTGACAATCTGGAAAGAGAGATTCAGGAGGTATGTCTATTGCAGACAGATTCTAATGTATATTTAGGTGTTTTGTGAGTAAGAAACAGAAATTTTTATCACTAGAAGCTTGAAAACTTTCTTTATGATAGGTATTTTATCCTAAGGTGAGATTTATAAGCATAATAAAGATACAAATATATTTTTATTTGTTTTTGTTCTACAGTTGTTTGTTTTTTGGGTACTTTTTTCAAAATTGATGATGTTAACTGTTTTTAAAACATTAATAATACTTAATTTTGTTTTGTTATGAAATATTCTCTAACCATAAAAGTTACTGTTCTAAAAAAAATGGTTATGTCTAAATTTGGTGTCCTAAAATTGTAAATATGGCGAGGCAAAAAAAAAGATTAAAGCCAAAAAATGGTCTACTTTACATATCCTGCTAGGTGAATGAAATAATTAGATTTTATTAAAGCTGACTTGTTTTACTTGCAGCACCTGAATGCGGAGCAAGCTTATGAGTTACAGGTGTCTAATCTGACACGCTCGGTCGGTAACCTGGAGGAAGCGATGAGACAGACAGAGGAGGATAAACAGAACCTCCTGGAGGATCTGACCGCGGTCCGAGAACTCTGTGCCAAACTGGAGGCCACGAAGGAATCCATACAACGACAGCTCACCTCGGCCAGTCTCGACAAGGAGCAGGTACAGACTCATACAGAGTTACCTCCCTTATCATGCTCAGATCATTTCATGTGTTATACAATAAACTTATAATTTATTTCATGATTTAGTCACGGTATACATGTGTTTCTCGTAAAAGTAAATTTGTGAGTACCAAATTAATTTAACTATGTTCTATACATTTGTATTCTTTATTACTAACCAGGATTTGTATTTCTTCCTTCTATTTTCATGACATTGAATTTTTTTCATTTGATTTATATTTACATTGATGAATGATGTCTGTCTTAACTTTAACTTAAATTTTGCATAAGAACAAAATGAAATTAATTTAATCTTCCACTTCTGAATTTCTATAAGTATGTTGTAAACAATTAATATTTTGTGATTTGTAGATGTCTACTTTGATTGAGGACATGAAACAGGAGACGGAACTCCTTAAGCAGCAGTTATCCAGTGAGAGGACGAACGCCAAGAATCTGGAGGGACTGTTACAGAACAACAGAGAGAAAGAGTTCACCAGTCAGCTGGCTCAGCAGGAAAAGTCCTCCGAGATCCAGATGTTAAAGGACAGACTGGCCCTCAACGAGAGCAAAATGTATACAATTACAGCAGTACTCAGACACAACAATACAGTTATCTTTAATACTTAAATTGATAGTTAGAGAGCAAAATGTATACAATTACAGCAGTACTCAGACTCAACAATAAAGTTATCTTTAATACTTAAATTGATAGTTAGAGAGCAAAATGTATACAATTACAGCAGTACTCAGCTACAGCCATTTTATATTACAATACAAAATACAAATACTCAGATACAACCATAAAGATAATAAATAGTCAAAGAGCAAAATGTATACAGACAAATACAGCATTACTCAGATACAAAAATTAAGTTATCTTTAATACTTGATTTATAGTTAGAGAGCAATGAAGACCTTTGGAAAGTTTTTTTAGCCATTTCGTCTTTTATTAATCATATTTCCTGTAAATTTTTCAGACAAAGTCAGGGACGTGAAATTGCATCATTGAGGACTAGAAATGTTGAATTGGAAGGAGATGTAGAAAGATTACGTAGAAACTTAACAAGTGAGAAGTTTGAGAGAGAAAGAGCCATTCAGGAACTTCGCCGACACAACATTGCCCCACCCATCCCCACCATGGAGTACAGTTCCTATCCTAGCTACTCCAGAACTTACTCCTCCATGACAAGGTCAAGGTCGCGATCTAGATCAAGGTCACCCAGCCCATCCAGGTCAGTTTTACATTAAGTATTCATTTCAACAAATAACACTTTGATTTTTCCTCCTTAGATGATACGTGAATGTATTGCATCACTTTAAACTGTAACCTTTTCATTACGTCAGTGTAACCTTTTCATTGCATCCAGGTATAGGAGCCCCGACACATCCTACCTGAGTTCATCTGCCAGGCGAGCCCGCAGTCCAGAGAGAAGCAGCTATTTAGACGACCCGTCAGAAACCTCCACGAAAGGCATCGGTCAGGACGTCTTATGATCATCACAAAGCAGCAACTTCACAAACTTAGTTATGAACAAATAGGCTTAAAAAAAATTATATATATTTTTATGTTCAGTATGCCTGTAGATTTTTATACATGGGTGAATAAGTCCTAATGTATGTGATTTGTAAGAAATCCACTGCCCTGAACCAAGTCAGTTATTGGAAATTTATATGGAAGAGAAAGCCTCAAGAATTTTTAAGATCATCTGTTATAGATATTTTTTTAAAAAGAGCACATTTCTAGTGGACAAGTTTTGTAGAGATATGTCTGACCTTGGGTGTAGAAGGTATTTTTTAGTATCTAGCTACATGATATTTTAGATATTTTTGTCTGTGATATTTTCAAATTGCCATCAGTGGGTTACTGATGGATATTATGTACTCAGTGACTTTCTTAATTATTTCATTATTGTGTAATTGATGATGGTTTTAACATCCGAGTATGGTTTATGATTCAGCACATTGAAGTTACTACTGACAGAAGGGAAATTTAAGTTCTTTTTCACTTTATTTTTCTTATTTCTTTATTACTTTGTAAATCTCCCTTCTTTTTTCAAATCAAGTTTCCGTCCATTAATATTTATATAAATATTGCCAGTTTTGTTTGTATTTTTGTTTTAGCGATTTTTATTTTTATTATTTAAACAATTTATTTGAAATATGTAGTAATTTATAAGCAATTTTGTTGTAATATATTGTGTCGATCAATGAATATGATTTGTAGCAATATCATGCATGCATTTGAGAGAACAAATTATATATTCTATGATCAAAAATTGCATTTAGTTTTATATTTATTCTCAGAAAGTGCTGAAGATTAAGTAAATAACATGAATCAATTAGAAATTTGTTTTGCAACCATTTTAGGAACATGAATCACTTTATTTTGGAGTGACAGAGTGTGGAATTGTCTTTTGCGTCATTTTAAGTGTAAACAAATACTGTGGTGGGATGAAAACAAACTCAATTAATTTGATAAGTTTTTTATACCCCTGACTTCAATGCATCATGTATAAAGAACAAGAGACAGCAGAGTGATCAACTCCCTAAACTTTATACAGTCAGGCACTACCAAATTCACAGGGAAGGTCACTGTATTTGTAAGGCAGTCTGCTTTAACACCATTTGTTTCTTTCAGTACTAAATATGAATCATATATTTACAGAATAAATTATTTATTATTATATATTGAGTTTATTTTCTTTATACATTCACAACACATATCCAGTATTATGTATATTTAATATTTTACGTTATATACGTAAAAGTCCAGTAGTAACTGTATGCATTTTGGGATTTATTTTTACAGAATTCGGAAATTATTAATGAGGAGATTTTCTTGGGGAAAAACGATTCGTTGAAGAAGTTGCAAACCGGTTAGTTTTAAAATGAAAACATTATTGCATGGACCCTGAGGTCCACGCAGTAAATATTTAAGCGATGTTAAACCGGATGCCCTGGGCATACGCCAGACTACGCATGCGCGTGAATGCTACAGAGTTCAAAGCGACAATCCTCGGCTGACTCCGCTACACCCATCGGCTTTTCCGAATAGCTTAAGACCTCTGACGGAAAGACCCGAGATGATGCGATTGAGAGTTCATTGGTGGATCCAAATTTCTAATGTATACACATAACTAAACATTCATTCTATGGCACAAGCATTCTCATAAGTAGGAAGAACTTGCAGTATATACTATATATAAGATAACTTAACAACTTGAATTAAAAACTTCGTTCAACGACTAGTTCTAGCTTTTAAGAAAATAGAACAAGTCTTCACAGGCATTAGTTTTGAGCATCAAGGCTCGCATAGTAATTTGATATACAGGAGTCCAAATACAGCTTGATACAAGTCTGTAGCAACAGTTTTCCATGTGAGGGGGGGGGGGGGGGGCTCCGAAAACAAAATCTGTGTACTATAGAGTTCTGCTACACGTGTACACATGATAGATCTCTTCTGAATAAATGCAGAATACTAGTATATGTAAAGTCCCAACCATTATGGGTTATATGTATCAAAATAGTCCAAAACAGTCAAAGTAGGCAGATGATGTAGAAAATGTGAACGAACCTACATGAATATCCAATAAACTTAGAAATTTTCTTTAATAAATTGAATTTCGGTTAGAAACACATGCATATGGTCCACGTATTATAGTCCTTTTTTTTAAAGGACAGCAACTTGTTTTAATGCTTTGGACGGGGGGGGGGGGGCTCCGAAAACAAAATCTGCGTACTATAGAGTTCTGCTACACGTGTACCATCAGATCTAATTTTCCAATGATAGATCTCTTCTGAATAAATGTAGAATACTAGTATATGTAAAGTTCCAACCATTATGGGTTATATGTATCAAAATAGTCCAAAACAGTCGAAGTAGGCAGATGACGTAGAAAATGTGAACGAACCTACATGAATATCCAATAAACTTAGAAATTTTCTTTAATAAATTGAATTTCGGTTAGAAACACATGCATTTGGTCCACGTATTGTAGTCCTTTTTTTTTAAAGGACAGCAACTTGTTTTAATGCTTTGGACCTTTAAAACCATTTTTAATATACTTTGGAATGTGATGTTTCAAAAGACCAGGCAAATGTTGCTCTATCTGATAATTCACTTTCTTAAAGCAACATATACACATCAAAAATAAAGAATGATAAACTCTTATTTTTATCATGACAAAATTTAATAAATCATTTGTTTTACCTATGGTTTTAGATATATAACATACATAACACTACACTACTGTTTTGAACTGGTATCAGCCCTTGGATGTATTCTCTTTAGAGAAGTAGACCACAGGTGTCAAGTTTTTATTGGAAAACATTCCGGACAAAAAATTTTACACCCTCAACTGAAAAAAACATTTTTTTCATTACGATATTAAGGACTCCTGTGAGTGGACATGTTTTTGCCTATATCCACTTTTCTGCGCTGGAAATCGTGTAAAATGTAGAACAGTTGACAACTAACATTCTGTCTGATTATTATACTCATTGGAGTTTGACCCCACATTAAAAAAAAAAGATTAACGTTGGTCCAAAGCTGTGATACGTGGGAACCAGTGTATTACACACACATGCTGGTACTATTGAAAAACATAAACGAAGGGCTGATTTGCCCTCCCCCTTTTGTGGCATAGTCAAAGTCGTTTTGAAATGTATGAAGAAAATTCGGTTGTGAATACAGTTGCCCCCCCCCTGCCTACTCCATAAAATAGTATTTCCGAGAATGGACAGTATTTTCCTGACCCTTTAAATGATACTAGGTGCCAGTATATTAAAATTACAGTCAACTAAGACTTAGTACGAGTTATACAGCTAGCAGTGGCGGATTAAACCGGGAGGGAGTGGGGGGAGGCACCTCCTCCCCCTTTTAAAATTTCAAAGTATGAATGACCATGACTGATGGGATGTATTGTCCAAAATCATATTCTAAATAGACTAATATTAATAATGCCATACTTTTGCTTAAAAGTTAAAGCTCAATTAAAAAAATGGTAATTTTATTTAATTATCAAGTATAAGTTTTCGTAAAAATCAACCCTGAAAACCTTGTATTCCCTAGTCTATGAATTATCGCATAGAAAGTGAAATATCATAATGTACATAACTTATCTATTACCACTGTTTTGTGCCTGGTTTTATTCTTAAAATACACGAAAACCCAGGAGCTGGGGGCCATAAGGTAGACCCCAGACCCCCTGCCTGCTGAACAAAGTTATCCACCACCCCACCCCCCATTACAAATTATGTATCTTCCCTTCCCATGACTACAATTCTAAAACCTGATTTTGGGATGCACCGAATACCTCTATTATATACACACATAAAAATTTACTTTAGAATTATATTTTTGAAATATTTTCTTTAGATATTTTTTCGTTATTGTACATACATATCAATATTCATAAGAAAAAGTTGATAAAAACGAAAATAATCAGAATATTTCAATTTCCGAGCAGCCTTCGTGTGTAACCCAGTTAATATTAAGACATTTGTTATGAAGCATTGATGTATTTGACGTTTGTAAAGAGACAATAACCCATTTTTGTCACGAGTTGATGGATGTAGTATGATGATATGATTCTGACAAATTACCATCAAATACTTGTAAATCCTGCCCTGATTATGCGTGGATAATGTGCAGTAATTCACGAGCTATGCTTTTTATATATTAGTGGACATTGTGAACGAACTGCAACTGACCACAAGAACGGATTAGGTCGGAGGACTCAAATATTGATAGTTGTGAAAATTAATAATGGATTCTGTTGATATCTTGTTTACATAGATAGGGGGTTTAAACTGAACTTTCAAGTTTTAAGCACTTGTACTTAAAAGCTGATAAGGAGTTGGGCGTGATGGACAAATATGGCACCAGCAAAGGTAATGTAGCCTATTCTGTACATATTTAAAATAAAACCAAAAAAAGTTTTAACTCACTAAAGTTTGTTCAATACATGTATAGGATTTATATTGGTATTTAAATTTCATCTTTGACTTAATGCCAAGCAAGCAGACTATATATTTTGGGCATTTTAAAACATTTTGACAAAAAGACATCAACATCTCCAAATTCGACCCGTAGGTGAAATATCTAGATCCACGCCCAGAATGTCAATAAAATAGCCCTGATGCATGTCGATCTTGTTATTTCTCTCCCGCTACTCAAATTCTGAATTTTTTTTTCATAAAAAAAATGTCATTTCGGAATTTGCTTGAAGCAGGGTTTTCCGGTGCATGTTGTACTTGTAAAAGATTCTCATTTTTCAAATATCTGAACTTACTGAATGTTGATTTGAATGTAGTTTTATATTGATTATTTGAAAGAGGAACCCCCCCCCCCCCCCCCCACCTAGCAAAAAATTTTAATTACTGTAAATTACTGTATTTCAATTAACCTGTACATTTATTACTAAACTTCAATCTAGCTTTTTTTTTGTTAAATACCCCCACCCCATGATTTTGTATATGAAATGACACTTTTTTAAATTTTAAAATTTTAAAATTGGTTCAGTCAAAATACGAGTTTATATAGCAGGAATTTTTACAAGATTACAGTTGATATTTTAATAGTAATTGATTTGAATCAGGAAAAAAAAAACTTAATTTTCCCCCCCCCCCTAAAAATCTGGTATATGGCAATTTTTTAATTTTGACTGTATAGCAGGTTTTTACATCTACAGTTGATATTACTCCTTCACAATCATAAATGTCCAGGCTGAAAATGACTATGTCTGCTTTACATATATCAGGCCTCTCCTCCCCATTATAAATGATTGGATCTCTAACCTCCAAACATTAATTTGAACCCCCTCACGAAAAAAATAATTGTATGAAGTTTGTAATTAAAGGTGTTTTCTTTGAAACATCTCCCTTCACACAACTTAATTATTAAATCGAGTATACATTTTCATTGAAAGTAACGAAAATACATTTTCATTGAAAGTGGACCATTTGCTGTTAGAAAATTCCGAGATCCGCCTTTGCTAAAACTAGTAGCTTTTAAATACTAGAAGTATATTTAGAACATCCCCGTTAACGCAGTTTTATTGGTAGTTTGCCGCTATAAAGATACATCTTAAACAGAACTCGGGGTCGTGGAAAGGTAAGAACTATATAATTATAAATGAATTTTAATTCAGTAGTTAGGGATTTGGGATTGAAATTATGTTAGGCATTTTATTTTTTTCTTTATCCTATAGCCAGACGTTCACGAGCATTTTGCCAAAAGCTTCAATACAATAAAACATATTTATAGGAATGTTTCAAGGTATAATTCTAAAAGTGTAGAATCGTGTTCTACAAAACCAATACCTTTATTTTCTATTCTTCATTCGAGATTTTCGACAATATATCTCATAAAGTTTTACATGTAAGGGAATCGTGTCTCAATATGACAATATTTGTATTCCACTGTCATATTGACAATATTATTAGGTCAAAAATAGCCATACATCCTTACAGTATGCCTATATAACGACATTGTTAGATCCGGCCGATTTGATATACTAGTATATAAAATCACGGGCGGATCCAGAATATTTACCAGAAGGCATACATTCCCACTGATTATTAAAATTTAAACAAATCCGACTATTTTCTTTATGGCAGAAAAACGGAAACTTTTAGGGAAAATAAACTATTTTGTGATCGAGGGAACGCCCGGGGGGAGGGGGGGGGGTTAAGGCATTTAGTGTCGACAAACCGCTTTTCATTATTTTCTCACATTTTAGTGCTTGTAATTCGTTTGAAAATTATACTAAAAATCAAGTATTTTTATAACTCCGTTCATTTTTTAAAACTTGTTTCGTCTTATTGTAATCATTAAAATTCTTGAAATTTTGACTTGACATTTGTATTTTTTTTTCTCAGTACAAGTTCTTCTTGTGTGGTCATTTAAAAAAAAAATCAAAGTTAACTTTTATTTCAAAATGCATTTGCCTATTTGAAGAGAAGTAAAATATCCGTTTTCATATTGCTACAATTAACTTGATCATGTCAAATTTCTTGTTTTTCAGATTTATATATACAGTCATTTTTTTTCTTAATCATTAGCTCTGGGACAATGCTGTCTATATTAGATGGCGCATGACATTTATTTCAGTTCCAAGGACAGAGATTTTTTTTAGGGTATTAAATGTAGAAAACAATAGATGTAATTTTTAAAAAACAATGTCCTATAGCTGTTGATGCTGTCATTGGGTAGATTGTTACTGTCCGCTCTTTTTTGTTAGCTCAGGCTTACATATATAGTTCTATTTAAATTTGGAGCTAAATTACAATAAGATTCTAAGAGTGGACTTTTAAGGTCAATGTTTGTTGCTGTTAACTTCATCAGACATGAGATTTTTTTTTCGAAAAACTTATAAATCGCTATGGTTAAAAATTACTCGAGTAGGTAGAGGGATTGTGAACCTTAGAACGCCTAATATTAAACTACTTTACATAAAAAACAACAATTCTGAAATTTTCAGGGGGTTCGGATTGAATACAATGTATTATATGTAAGAACAATTATTACCAGTAAAAATGACAATCTCATTGACACACATTGCATCCAGATACTGTATCTTGAATTAGACTCTGCTCCCGACCACATTATAGACGTTACATAACACGACTTTTTGGCTAAATTAGGTGATTTTTTAAATAAAAGAAAAACATTGCATGTTCAGCTTTCCTGGCCTTTATATAAAATCTGCAGTGAATCACGTAAAGCCACACGTCTGGAGATTGACGAATGATAATGATCGAGGCAAACACGTTTTGTAAAGTTTTAGGGGAAAAAAGGATTGGTTAAAATTTACTTTGTCTGGACTTTTCATAATAATGGAGGTAAGATCGCTTGCCTGTTTATTCCTTTACCGATAAAACCGGAGGGGACAATAGGTTTCTCCTCTCGTCTGTCTTGCTGACCGTTAAACTGTTCCTCTGTTTTTCTGTCTGTTAGTCTATCTGACCGGTTTTCGGTAATTCCCCCCCCCCCCAATTTTTCAGATACTATGCTGATTCTTAGTACGTGTCAGCGTGTTGATGAGTTAGAGATTAAATTTGTAGTTTCTATGATTTCGACCTTTTTAATACTTTGCCCTTAGATACCTTCAGATTACTTATTTTATTCACTGCGTAACTTTTTTTTAATCTAAAGAATTACTGTTTGTATAAAATTTCAGAACTAAATCTTTTTTGAATATTAAGTCGAATTAAATTTGTTTTTAAAATCATTGTCATATTTTGTCTTCATAAGTGCACCCACATCGGAAATATGTTACAGAAGGCCTGTACGTAAGTCCTTTTCTGGATAAGAAAAAAATAAAAATGCACTATAGACACCTATTATAAACCCTCTTTTTCCCTATCAATGACAACATTGAGAAGCGATTTAGATTCATAATATTGTACTCGTAACTTTCTTTTCCAAAGTTGATAGCAATATATGACGTTAAAATCTCCATATCAAAGGGGTAATGAATAGTGTGTGGGCGGATCTCAAAGAGGCGTGGACTCCTCTAAAACGATGTATAGAATAAGCTCAAGGTGATGCGTAGTCCAAAACACAACCATTTAAAAAATGTAGGTGTAAAAATTTAAAAAAAAAAAAAAGACCTTTATTGTATTTAAGTAAAAAGCTTGAAAGTTCTATACCTATATATTATTTACAACTGTAATATTAACGGGAAAAATAACAAATAACATAAAATTAGCTGTCTGTGATACGGATAATTGATCACTTTCACGACCCGTCACTATACTTAAAACATTGCTGTGACGTCATGCCTTTGTTCTTGCAGTCTAAAAATTTACCTGTAGCCGTCCGATAATAATAATTGCCAGTCTGATAATATATTATCGGACGGCAATGATAACAATATATCGGAAAAAAACAAAAAGAAGAGTGAAATTAAGTGTGTGTCCAGAAACCCCCAATAAAAATGTTAGGAAACAAATTCAGGAAAAGCAAACGCAAGGAAATTAAATTGCTACAAAATACATGTAGCAAATCCATCAAAAAAAAAAATCCAAGTTTAAACCTTCCACAAAATTAATACTTTTCACTCTTTAAAAGAATTTTTGATACAGCACTTTGAAAAAGCGAATTTAAATCCATTTCTGCAAAATAAAATCTCCTTATTTTATGTTTGTTCCCCGAACACTTTTAAAACCTGACCATTATCTAAACTAAAACTTCAGGGTAAAAATCTGCATTTTTACTTTCCATGGTGATGGCTATAATATCACCCAAAATTATGTCAGTATCAATGTCAATTTATGCACAACATAAATAAAATTGTTCCCCCAAAATATCTTTCACTACCTATATATTGCCATTGAATGAATGAAATGAAACAAGAGTTCACTGTCTCATTTCTTTTACATTATCAGACGGGTAGAAAATGGATGCTTGAATGCTTGAACTCCTATTGTGTTATTATCACTAAACTTTTGGACATTTAAATCGCAATGTTTTAAGTAAGATATATGCCTCATACTATTCTATATGTAAAATTATCACTTTCAACGGGCCTCAAACAGTCTGATAATTTTACATATAGAACAGTATTCGGCATATATCCATTACTGAAATAAAGTCATTGGGTTTATGAATTAAGAGGGAGAGGACGATCATATGGCCAGGTAAATTTATAACCGGGGGCAAAGGTTAAATGTCTATTTATAACCTGGTCTAGGTAAATAATTGATTTCCGCTTTACAAAATATTTTGAAATGTTGTTCAACAGCCACGAGTGTCCTGGGGTTTGATAGTTCAGGTAAGAATTCAGGTAGATGTGTCTTTATTAATTTATGCAAATACAGTTGTAAATATATATGTGTACACTCTAAAAATCGTCACCAAATTTTCATTTATGAACCATCTCCATGTATTGTGCAGACTGTCTGCACATTCCTAAGATGCCATTTTCTGCATAGACTCTCTTATCAATGATAGAGAATGTGCCCTACCTTGACAAGCCTATACTAGCGTACTGGCTTTGTTGTAAAAAAAAATATTCAACGAAAAAAAATAAATCGTTAATAAAAAGTTCCGTGTGACACTTAAATATGAATGTAACAACTGTTTAATCGTTCCAGGTCCAATATATCATAGGCCATGTCGGGAATTATCCGCGCACTGAGGCGCATGGCAGGGCGCTTGTCATTTAGACGCAAGAAAAAACGTCGACGAGATTCGCAACTCTCACCTCAGCAACAACCAGACGACGAATTTGAGAAAGAAAAGGAACAACCAGAAACTGATTTAAAGAGGGAACCAGCAGACGATATCATAGTTGACGTTCACAGAGACACGACAGACGCTGACGTCACTGACGCCAAAGACGGGTCTGACGTATCAGACGATAAAATGGAGGACAAGAAGAAATCATCAGAGGATTCATCGTCCTCATCGTCGGATTCAGATCAGGAAAAGACTTCCGGTGCAACCTCAAAATGGAAATTTCGAACAAAAGTGAAAGAGAAGATTCTGCAGAAGCAGTTCGATGAGTGTGACGGGGAGATGTGCGTGGACATGTTAAGGACCCCCACCGTCAAGGCGTTCACGGCCCTCAAAAGGAAACTAAAGAAGTCCGATAAAGCCTGGGTCCAGGGCTTTCTGGACTGTGGCGGTCTTGACGTCTTGTTGGATGCTGTTGACGTCATCAGTAGTCGACGTGTGACGGATTTGTCCGAAGCCTTGAAGCTCTTGGAATGTGTGTCCTGTATTACCAAACTGGTCAATTCTAAGATGGGACTGTCTTTCTTAGTTCAGCACGGCAGTTACACAAAGAGACTTGTTAAAGGTAAGTGCATGGTCATTTTCCAAGTGAGTTAAAGCTTAAAACAGGTTGGGGAGAAACGTAAATTCCGCTATAATAGTGGTATATCACTATTATAGTGAAATTCCGCTATATTTTCAGCCGTATTCACCCTCGATATCATCAGATAACATGCTTGCTGTTTAAACCGCAATTCATGATGGATATAAAAATGGACACTAATTGGTACCCTTACATATTATGAATTTTATTTAATTTTCTGCCGATGCGTTTAATAATGCGAACACACTTTGTAAAACGGAAGTTACATTTTTAACATAGCAACCAGCGATTGTTGCAGTGTTCAAGAAAGACTGAATTCCAATTTTTCTCACACATGTGCAGAAATTAATGCTTGTAATAATTTTCAATCCTCTTTGAAAGAGGTTTGTCGAATTTACAGTAGAAAAGACAATTTTTGTCTGCATGGTTACGGGTATGGAGGCCCGTTGTAACAAATGCCAAAAAGCTCATTTCATGTAAAATTTATTTTGTTAGAACCGATATGTCTCGTCTAGAAGCAATATATCGTAAACAATCTATAAGATGGCAAGTCTTCAGGTTATGACAAGTATAACGTTTCTTTTTATGGTAAAACGACAAGTTCAAAGGATTAGTTTTATCTTGGAAAGACACTCGCATTATTCTTGCATGGGATTGCCTGTATATGAAGCGACATCTTTTTTTTTGTACGATTTCGATCTTGTCTAAGTTGCATGACATATGATACACCTAGTATTTAACTAAGTTATGCACTGAAAAGGGTTATGAAATCTCAAGTTAATTGAAACTGCAACGGAATAAGATTAATTCTCCATTGTAAAATTAATTAAATAACAGGAGGAACAGCTCAAGTGTTGACTTCATGCGAAATTGTAGACCCTTTATTAATCAGCTTGTTTGTCAGAAGCCTGCTTCGTTTCAAAAATTGTCGTACGAGAAAATGCTCATGCGCACTAAATCAACCATGAGACATTCATAAATCCATATGCAGGTAATAATGGTTAATTCCTACATAAATAAAGGAAGTTGATAGAAAAATTGAAGTCATCAGGTTTACCATAAAATTTAGTAGTTGGTTTGCCATCGATCTCTTTCTTCAATATAATATCCAAATATGAAGCAGTTGTGTCATAATATATCCGTAGTGTCCTTTATCACTAAATCCAAACGTAAATTTTTTTGAAATTACAGCCATGTTTCGTATAATTTTTGCTGGATAAAAATGTGTAACATAAATAAACCATTACATACAAGCTGTGTCGGGGGGGGGGGGGGGGGAGAGTGAGAGAGATTAGTTGTCTAAAAAACGTTGGAAATTGGAAAGAATTCTAAAAATATTGAAAATCCTATTTCCAGGGGGGGGGGGGGGGGGGGGGGGTGGGCAGGGTGTTAGGTATTCCAACTTCGTTTCACAACCAAAAATCAATACTTTATCATACATAACCAACTTACCATTATTAAACTATATACATGTACTACAACAAAAATTTGGGGAAGGGGAAACCAACCTTTCAATGAATATTTTCAATAGTGAAAGTTAATGTTTGAAAAAGATTTGTGGGGGATAGAACCCCCTGAATATGGATATATATATATATATAAAACCTGAAGAAGTGTCATCTTATAGAATGTTTACGATTTATTGCATCTAGACGAGACATATCGATTCTGCCAAATTAAAGTTTACATGAAATGAGCTTTTTAGCATTTGTCACAATGGGCCTCCATACCCGTAACCATGCAGACAAAGATTGTCTTTTCTACTGTAAATTCGACAAACCATTTTCCAATGCAGATTGAAAATTATTACAAGCATTAATTTCTGCACATATATGAGAAAAATTGAAATTTGGTCTTTCTTAAATACTGCCACAATCGCTGGTTGCTATGTTAAAAATGTAACTTCCGTTTTACAAAGTGTGTTCGCATAATGAATTGCATCGGCAGAAAATTAAATAAAATTCATAATATGTAAGGGTACCAATTAGTGTCCATTTTTATACCCATCATGAATTGCGGTTTAAACAGCAAGCATGTTATTTGATGATATCGAGGGTAAATACGGTCGAAAATATAGCGGAATTTCACTATAATAGTGATATACCACTATTATAGCGGAATTTACGTTTTCCCCCAACCTGTAAAACACGCGTACGACTCGTAAATAGACACATGCCATATTCGACAATACTTTCTACGATATCAGCACGTATGGAGTATATATCTTTCGCATTTCGTTACACTTGACTGCACCGTGAAATGGCGACACGTGTTTGTGCTGGTTATCTTCACAATTTATTGTTACGTGTATTTGTTCGTATACAGCACTGACCATCTTCGCTAGCCAAGGGTTTCTGATACGCTACTCTCCTCATAATCATGAGGAGAGTAGCTTATCAGAAACCTTTGGCTAGCAAAGATGAGCACTGACCTGTGTAAATTTTGTAAGTTTCTTTGGTAACTTTCTAATCTGCCGTGCAAGAAGTTACACAGTACTGTCATGTTTTGTTGCTGTCGTCAATTGCTATGTAACATGCGCCCGTCTAAGTTGTAGGCTTATATAGGGGCCATGAGGCATAGCGAGTGAATGAAAGAATATGGGGTAAAAATTCCTCAATTTTACAATTCGTGTTCAGATTTAAGTTTAAATGACAGTCACGTAATCCAGAGTTTGTGTTGTTTTTCAAAGATCTGTCAATTCTTCTGAACTGCACGTAATCTTTATGAAATTTGAACCAATTGGTCCGAAATCCCACAGTATCATTTGAAAACCAACTCTCCCGATTTCTTGACTTTCTCTTTTTGTGTTTTGGCTAATTAATACCGCTCGAGCAGTAGATGATAGTATAATAAACTTCTACCGAAATTGATAAACGTGTGAAATTTATCTTGTTCATTTTGAATTTATCACATCTCTCATGAAAGTAAAACGATAGAAGTATGCGTTTTATGTAAACAAGCTCAAAATTTCTGCATTTAAAGTCCAAAATCTGCTGCATATGAAGTCAAAGCTTTACACAAAAGAAACCGGAAAACATCCGTTTGGGGTTGGCAGATCTGAAATCCTCTAAATGAGCACACGTGCACGGCCTTTGTACCGTCCCCAAATACTCCACTCAGATAAATTGTTTGTCAAGCTGTAAATGGTTCCACTTATGTTTGCTTTTTTCACTTTATACCTTCTGAAGATTGAAAAGATCCACCAAAACACATACTTGAAGCAATTTGATGCTCTCGCAAAGAAATCGTCTTAAGCTGAAGGGAGGTGCTAGTTCTGGGTGTAAAAGCCTGTTTAAGGCTCAATTTACAGAAGATTACACTAACGTTGGTATATCATCTTTACCCTCAGAGTGTGTATAACCTCATATACACACCATATGACGTCATGTACGTCATTGCCTATCGGTGCATAGTGATTGTTCGAATCGGTATTGGTGTAAGGAACTTGGCTGGTGACCCCTGCTCTTATAACGATATACGTATAAAGTTGGGGATACAAATATACAGTGAAGTACGTGATGTACCATATACTTGAACGTCTTTGCATTTACTTGGCATTTCCATGCCACTGACTCAACTTTTGGGCAACATGGTTAATTGCGTCATCAAATCAACAGAGTTTCTCGACAAATTATCACAAGTCGAAGTCACGTGAGTCATGTCGACACAAACTTCTACCAGTCCAAGGCGAGAAGACATCAGTGAAAGATGTGTCAGTGTGCTTGACGTAATAACTAATGAGTATGTCAACGACTGCACTGACCGATGCGACCATTTGCAACCTTTTGGTCAAGATTATTGTATGTAGAGAAAAAACCCGGGTACAATGAACCTTGTATAACTGCTTGAGTAATAGAATTGTTACGAGTTCACAAAATAATCATCCTGGTTCCGGGGTGAAAGTGGGCGAAACCTTGTTATATTAGAGACCTTAATGAATTAGGATTTATTGATCGATAGGAGAGGGAATATCATTTTTGTTTGAACTTTGTCCTTTCATACATTGAAAACTGTTACACAATATTGTCGTTCAGCAGATTTGTTCTCCTGCTAGCTAGATGAAAAAAAAGAGTCACTAATTATGAACGTACAAGGTAGTATTCATGGCGTGTGATGAATGCATGAATGAAATCAATATCATAAGACTGCATATAATATAACCTCTCTCTCTCTCTCAGGAGATAACTTTTTGACGCCTGTCATTCTCCATTCCTTGATGTCATATTTCACAATTTCTTTTGACATCAGCATCTGTCCATGTATTAAACTTCATTGAAGAACGATATGATACTTGCATGAGCGGTAAAAATGGATTTTTTCCTACAAATCCTGAAACTATTTTTCCTAGATTGATTGATTGTATGGTGTTTTTCATCCTGTTCGAGAAGTTTTCACTCAAATAAAGTCCTCACCAGATATCGTTAAATTTAGACCTTTACTCGGCACTGCATATCTAACGTTTTTCAGGCTTTATTTCGAATTTTAATGTTTCACGTGCCAGGAAAACCACAGAAAACTTTAGATATTTTAGACTAGGATCTTGATTGTGCCAACGCCTACAGTGGGTCTCATCTGAAGACCAACAACTTTCAGTACATCGTGCCAAACACTCGGCGAAGCAGTAGTTGCTACCCTATCCTGATTCCTATATATTCCGCGAGTTTATACCAACCGTAATTTATTGTACTGAAAAGTCAATAAAAAATACAAAGCATCACTTTTGTGAAACAAGAACAATTTAAGCCGATCCGATGTGTTTCCCATCTTACCCAGTTATGTTTTTTGAAAAAAATTTTTTTGAGGGAAAAAAAAAAACCTTAGGGATTTGATGCGAAAATTGATTTTGCTCGCTATGAAGAGTGCTGATATATGACAAAAAAATGTGAACTTAGACCTACTCCCACAGTGCTGAAACAAAAGTAGATATATCGTGTTAATTTAAATCGTACAGTCCACGAAGACCGAGTTTTACAGAGGAAGGA